TTTTTGTGTCTTTTGGGTAGATACCTAGGAGTGGGATTGCTGGGTCGTAGGGAAGCTCCATGTTTAGCAGTTTGAGGAACCTAGAACTTGGAGGATATTTAGGGACACTGACAACTGGCTGTCATATGGCCCTCAGATCGACCTAAGTGCCTTTAAAAGAGGAATGGTGAGGAAACTGGGAATATATACGCAGTGGAATATTATACACCCACGAAAAGGCGAAGAAATGGATTTTGGAAGAAAACAGCTGGAACTTGAGATTATATTAATGAAAAAGCCAGAAACGGAAACAGGTTAACAGATGGTTCCACTCATCTCTGGAGTATAAGCAACAAAAATATATGCAGGCAGCATATAGCAGAACTAAATCTTGAACTCAGTGAAAGGATTTAATGGTTGGGGCTGAGGGAGGGAAGCAGAGTGGGCATGGACATGGGTGGCTTAGTGAGGGTGAGTGCAGTATGTTCACATATGGAAGAGCAAAAATATCAACCCCAAGTAAAATTTTTTTAAATCTCCCTGGGGAAGGAACACATATTTTCCATACTCAATAATACCACTATTTCAGAGAATTTTAAATTAAGATAGATCCAATGAAGACATTGCTTTGTACTGATAAAATGCCCATTTTCTGATAAACATCTCATTTGGTCAAAACAAGTTCCCAGAGAGGAGCGCCTTCCTCCCCAAAGAGGAACACCCACAGGTATAGAGACATGCGACAGCTGTGTGTGAACCAGGCCTAGAAGAGCAGGTGGGCTCTGGAGACAGGAGGGTGGCAGAAGAGGGTGTGAGTATGGGCAGGGCTCTGGGGAGAGCGGACACGGGCTCCTTAGGAGGGAAGCAGAGCTAGCTCACTCTTCCGGCTGGCCCAGAAAAGGGTTTACTAGGAATTACCCACATCTTCTAGGCCAGAACAGATCGAGTGCATATCCCGAGGTCCACTGCACTCCCCGGACCATCCCAGGTTCACTGAGAGAGCTCACGAGACACAGTATTTAGTCTCACTTGTTATAGAAAAGGACACAAAGTGAAGGAAGACAAAGCACATGGATTCTGCAGAAACCCTAGGCCAAGCTTCAAACCAACCCTGAGCACAGCCTCTCCCAAGAGTCCCAGGACCTGATCACTCTTCCAGCAACGAGTTGTGACAACTTGGGGGCTCCTCGGGGGAGGCCCTCTGGAGGCGCAGCCAGGGCTGTGGTGGGGGGCCGGTCACACAGCCTGTGCCAAAACTCCAGACTCCCAGGAGGAGAGCAGTTTGCTGCATAAATTATGTCATCAAACGGTTGGGGCCCCACGAACCACTCTGTTGGGGAATGCTGGGAATCCTTCCAAAATCCAAGTTCCCAGACACCAGCCAAGGGTGTAGAACGCGCAGACGACGGCAAGCTCGGGGCTCTTTCCTGCACCTCCCCAAAGCCCCTGACGGGCTTTGAACAGTATCTGACCCAAGAAACCCGACTGCCGGAGGGGAAACGAAGGCCGCTCGCCAGTGCTCAGCCCTTGGCTGCCTTGCAGACGCTGTCACTTTCGCGCACCTTTAAGCACTGACCAAAGCAGAACATGAGGGTTTTAAAATGAAAACTGTAATTCAAAAACATACCTCTTTGTTGATTTTGTTGGTTTCTGCCACTCGGTCGGCCAGCACGGGGTGCTGGAGGGGAGGGGCAGCGATGGGCTGCATGGCAATGAGCTGGATCTTGCTGGGCACCCGCCGGCTGGCCTCGGAGGAACGGGAGATTCGGTCCACGTGCTCAAAGATGGAGGCGGACGAGTGCTGCTCTGTGCCTGAACTGGGGGCGGGTGGCCCTGGAACAGAGGGACAGCAGGACAAGCAACGTGACGCCAGGGTAGGGCAGCACCATACCGTGCATTATCCCTTAAGAATCCACAGAGGCCCTCCCTGTGGCGCGGCGGGTTAAAGCGCAGCACTGAGGAGCGAAAGCCACTTCTGTATGAGTTCGATTCCCGCCTGCCCCGGAGGGCCCACAGGGCGCTGCAGACCTCTCCTGACCCGCCCGCTGCTCCCCTCAGCAGTGTGCTTCGTCGGCCTGCTCCCCACTCTGTCTCTGGTGAAGCCTCCACCGCCCCTGCACCTCTGGCCTGGACCCCAGGAACAGCTGGTCTCGTCACCAGCCCTCTTGGTCCGCACACTGAAGCGCCAGCCCCTTTGATTGGGATTTATGCTGACAGCGATATCTGACTTGTGTGAGCCACTTGGCACACACTGGCCGCAATACTGTCTGTCATCTTAATACGGAGTTAAATGCCAAAACTAAAGGCCAGATTGCCTCAGAGAAGCGATTAATAGAAAATCCAGAGCTGACTTGTTTTTGTTTGTCTCAACTATTTCTTCCCTGGGATGGAAACTGACACTGAATCCTCGCTATCAGAAACAGCACATCGGGAGCGCGGTGATAAGTGACTTGTAGGATTTATCAAGTTGCGGAGTGGGGGAGGGGGGTGAAGGAGTCTCTAAAATTTCACCCAAAGAAAATCCCCTTCCCTTATCTAAGGGTTGTTTCTTCACCATCATAACAACAACTGGAAGGCATCTCAGAGCCCTGCTAGCTTGGCCCACTGGAGCCCAGTACTCTAGGCAAGGCAAACCCACACCAGGCTGCAGAAAGCAGGCCCCCAGCTTCTGCCCGGAATCTGTTCTGCAACTACACTGGCCTGCACTTTCTACAGAGAAAGAACAGCTAGTATTAAAAACACCCTGAGGCCTCCCAGTTTTCTTTGCACTGTGGAAACACAATCCTGAACTATAAACAAAACCCCCACAAATACAACAGCTGTACAGCACACCCACGGCACAGAATCTGCGAAACCAGAGCCACGTAACCCATGGCGCCAGAAACTGCTCCCCGGTGTAGTGAGGCCCGAGCCTCCTCCTTCCCTGGGCTCGCACTTCCCAGCCACGCGCTTTCCAGTGGGAGCGAGGTGCGTTTCACAGGCCCACACACGGCTCGGTCGGCCCTGCACTGGGGTCTCTGCCTGCAGGCTGGGGTCCTGGCTGGAGGTCCAGGGGCTGTGAGGCCACCATGTTGGACGTCACAAGGGCGGATAGGCTAAACCTCCCACAAACAGCTGCCGGGGGCCCTCCCTGGTGGCACAAGGGGTTAAGTCTCAGCACTATGAAGCTACTGGCAGCCACTGCAGCACCAGTTCGATCCCCGGCCAGGGATGTGACCCACAGTGCGCAGTAGACTTCTCCTGTCTCCCCCCTGCTCTCCTCAGCAGTAGATTTCAATCAATCTGCCTGTTCTGCTCCCCACTCTCACCGCCCTGTGCCTCTGGCCTGTACCCCAGTTCTTGTGTACGTAAATAAATAAATCTTAACAACAACAACAAAAAAACTGCCTGACCATGGCAGCCGGGAAACTGAATGGTTCCTAAGAAGGTCACTGAGCCCTGGAATCAGTTTTGGGACTGTGGTTTTCGTTCGATTCCTCCCTGCCACTGAAGGAGGAAACTGTTTGCTCTGTAAGCAAGAATGTGCGTGGCTGTTAACCTCAAGACAGGCACCAGTGGCTCCCGAACCCCCACCTGCAGGCAGACACCAGTGCCGGGCAGCCAAGCAGCGCACTGGGGACCTCCCCACCGGGACGGACACCTCCTTGCTGGGCGGTGTTCAATGCCCGGCATTTGTGCCCCAAGAACCCTCCCATGGGGAACGCTCAGTGGTCCCGGATAAGCTGGAGAACGAGAAGCATCACAGACCACTCTGCGGGGCTCGGTGGGCCTTGCCGTCAGGCACCACTCCCAGCGTCTTGTCTCCAGCTTCCCGCTCGCTGGACTCTTCGCTCACTGTTGAGTCAGCATCTGAGGGAGAAACTCTGCAGACACAGAACAAACACAGCCCTTAGGAAGTTGGAAGAAAGGAGGAGAAAAGGGTCATGTTATTTAGTCGGAAAAGCCAGGCCTCAGCAAGCCTGGTAGAAATGGACAGCCCAAACGTATCTCCAGGCCCAGCATCCTGCAGGGGGAACAAGGGCAGGGGGGAGCCACCAGGGAGACCTCACAGCCTGCTTAGGAATGGCCTTGCAGGCCTCTCCAAGCAGGAAGAAAGGAAGGGCTGAACCGGTGGACAGTACCTGAGCTTCCCAGCCAGCAGCAGGGATCTCCGCAAGGGGAGGACTTGAGTTTGGGACGGGTGTGGGGGTGGGCAAGGACCCCAGGTGCAGGGTTAATGGGCCAGCAGCATGTCCAGGAAGCCAGGGAAGCTCTGCAATCAGCCCCCATGAGTCCAGTGCTATGCCTACGCTTACAACACGAAGCCCCTTCCCCTACCCTAAGGTCTGATTCTAGGCTGCACTAGGTCAGTGACAACCCGCAGCCAGGGAGCACTTCTCTTGGCGTTTCCTGGCTTAAACCACGATGTGAGATGCCAAGACATTCTGGAGCCTCCGAGATGCTCAAATACCCGCTAGCCTTGCAAACCACCGAGATGTCGTGACTAAATGCTTAGGATGAGACCACAGGAAGAAAAAGCACTTTGTAAGACTCTGAACAGTGAACTAAGCCTAGGAACTAAATTTAATGATCCTGTTTCATCTTAGCCTGCCTCTCGCGCCATCACACATTTTCTTTTGTAAAGATCATGTTCTAATAGCATCAGATTCTCAAAACTAGGCCAGAACCCCATGGGGTAGGCTTTCTGATAAGTCAGAAATTATGACAGCGTTTCAAAGGCAATCACACGCTTTTTCCCTCTGAGCAGAAAAACCTGGATTTGAAACTCCAAAGCTCAAAGGCAAGGCCGCTCATTTGAGGGGTCAAGAGCCACGCTGTGATGGGACGTCACGCCTCAGAGTCCACACAGCGAAAGCTGCTTCTGTACTCGGCCTTCGGTAGCGGTCATGGCCCTGCTCTGGACACCCGAGGCCACTCGGGCCTCCCACGGAGCCTGGTGACAAGGTCTCCGCGTGCTCATTTTGACAGGCTGAGGGCCAATAAACTGGGCATGGGCTGCTGGGCAGGGCGGAGGCCGTGAGGAGGTCACCCCGACGTGCATCCAGGAAGACTGTGGGAGGAAACCCAAGCAGAGAACACAGCACGTGACACCATCCCAAACACACGACAGTGACAGCAGAGCCTGCTGGCCCAGTGCACGTCACAGACCGTGCACCCTCACATCGGACGGCTGTCTCCAGGGGGCCTGGCATGCTGACCTCAGAAAATATACATTGAGCGGGTCAACCCCAAAGCAAGTCCCAGCAGATACCCCCTATCACCCAGATGCGATGGGAGAGCAAGCATCAGGCCTGCTTTGGTCCACTGAGTGGCCAGCAGCCCCCCGACTCCGGGGAAGCCGCTGTCAGTGTCCCAGGCCGCAGGCCCAGACAGCACCCACCCACCCCCGTTCCGGCCCTGGACGCTGACTCCCTGAACACCACAGCATGCTCTGGGGTCGAGGACGATGCACGAGAGCAGGGTAAGAACCTTCCGCGGTGACGCACGGTCTTCGACGCGACCTTCGCCTTGGGGCTCGGCACGTCCCCGTTCTCCGAGGGCGTGGTGTGGTCCTTCCCGGGCCCCGGCAGCGGCGCAGGCTCGTGGATGATCAGGATGTCGTCTTTACTGTGCTGCCCCAGGTGCTGCTTAGCAAAGTCGAAGCCCTTCACGCTGGGGATCTGCAACTGGAACAGAGACACACGCAGGTGGCACGGCCGACCGGAGCCCGAGGGCTGTGGACAGCAGGGGCGGGGCTGGGAGCGGGGGCTTCTCACAGCACTGCGCCTGCAATCCCCCGACCCAGCAGGCTGCTCCAAAGAGGCGACTGGGGGCAAGATGCTGTTTATACCCCGGTGTGCAAAAAAACATGGGTACCTGAGGGCCTCCCTGGTGGCGGGTTACAGCACAGCATTGAGAAGCTCAAGCCACTTCCGCATGAGTTCGATCCCTGCCTGCCCCGGAGGTGACCACATGGCGCGGCAGACCTCTCCTGACCCGCCCGCTGCTCCCCTCAGCAGTGTACTTCATCAATCATCCTGTTCTGCTCCCCAACTGTCTCTGGTGAATCCTCTCACCGCCCCTGAGCCTCTGGTCTGTACCCCAGTTCTGTGTGTACATATAAATAAATCTTTAAAAAAAAACAAACATAGGTACTTTAGAATCCAGACTCAAGAAGAGTGCAAAGGACCGTGGCACCCAAGACATCACAAGGTGACACCCAGCCCGCTGTCATGGTAACATGACCACAGCAATTGCTGTGCAATTCCAGAAGGCATGGCCTAAGGGAAAGATTCTGGTTTTGAACTGATTTTCTGCTCTTCTAATATCATTTCAAGTCCTTTTCCCTAACAAGAACCTAGGCTCACTCAAGTCCAAGTAATACCCCCCGGGTCGGCTCCTGCCTTCTTGCCCACACGCCTGGGCTTTCGTCAGTGTTAGGCCCTGTGGAATGAGTGATGAAGCAGGACTCACTCCTCGTGGCCCGAGACCCCAGCTCCTTCAGCGGAGGCGGCCGAGACCAGCGTGGAAAACACACAGTAATTTCCGTGGAACTGGACAGTGGTAGAGGTGTCTGCACAAATGTCCCCGCCTGCCCCCTTTCTCACACCCCCTCCAGCAAAGCTGAACGTAATCTCTGTCGGCAACATCGGCAGCAAGTCCACAGGACACAAGCACGTGCTGCTGCTCATTCGGGCTGGGCGCGGCTGCCGGACGCCCTGACAGTACGTTCACCGGACAGCCAGGTGGCCCAACGACAGGCTCATCTGCGAGGCCAGGAAAAGCCCCAAAGGAAAGCCGCTCAAGTCCGAAGCCAACATTCTGCTCTGGGGAGCTTGCAGGCCGCAGGTGCGACTTTGGAAGCCTCTGTGTGGCAGGTGACGTGGGGAGGAGTTGAGACTTTTACAATGAAAATGGACTTTAGGGATAAAACGTGGGGGAATCTCTACCTGGAGCTAGCAGGAGGGACAGGACACAAGGCAGAAGACAGATTTAAAGAAAGAGAAGGAACTGCACAGGTCAGCACGATGGAACTCAGGGGAGAAAGGTTCTAGAAAGAAGTGGCCACAGACGCAAGGGCACAGTGCTGGAGGAGGAGGGGGTCCGTGAGAAGGGCCACCTCTCACCTGGGATGCGGGGAACCTACCTGGGACCTGCACCAGGTCCCGGTGAGCCACAGGGCACCCACAGGGCCCAGCTTCTAAGCCTGTGCTAAGACAGGAAAGGCGCTTTCACCTCAGGGGACGTGGACAAGGGTGAGCGCCATTTCTGAGGACACAGAGCGCCGGGCCCAGCTGGCAGAGGATGGGCAGACCACTGCAGACACGCGGCTGCCTCAGTGGTCCTTCCGGTTGAGCAAAGTCCTCTGGGCCAGAACCAAGCAACCCGGGGAGTCATTAGAGCTACTGTCTTAACTATGGAGAATTTCGGTCATACCTGAGCGGGTTTTATGTACAGATGAGTGACAACACCAACAGCTCAGATATATATACATACATACATATATATATTTGTACATATATATATATTTATATATATACATACACACACACACACACACACACACATATATATTATTTAGCCCTGAAAATCTAGGATCGATGGGTAAATGGGAAACCACCTGTAATAATCATTTACCCCGGCAGAGGGGGACAAAACTCACTGTAAGCAGTTTACAAAGGTGTTGCCTAGAAACAAAAGGCAAAGGCTGGCAGGCCCATATTTTCTAAATGATTGATATCATGTTACAAAAGCAGGCAGCTCACCAGAGGGCAGTTTGTGAGTTTCCACACCCTTTGCTCAGGAACACTGTTTAGCAGACAATGAACCCAAACCTGCCTCTATGCTCCATCCCTTCCCCCAAGCCCCAGTCACCCACTACCCAGGGAAGATTTATTCTCTCTCACACATTGGTCTGTGGCATAACACAGTGATCTTAAACTGGCTCCCAGAACCCCTGGAGGTGTACACTTTCCTGGTGGTATGCAGTCCTTTTAAGGGAAATGGACTCCAGGGGGACAACCTCTGTGGATGCCCTCACCTAAATGATACCTGGACCACCTCCACAGACACTCTCTCCCAACTGGTACCTGGACAACTTCTGTGGATGCCTTCACATAAAGAGGGCTTCCTGAGAATGGCCTGTGGTGGGACATCATGCACTCTCTCCTTCCTCCCTCACCTTGCAAGCACACGTTTCTCTATTCTACAGAGGGGCCCACCTACCTGCCATGTAGCACCTTCCCATGGTGCTCTGTCCTGAGGGGAGAGCTATCCAGGTCAGCAATAAAAAGACAAAAGGTGGGGTCCTCTTTCATGAAGATCTAACTACCTGTGATAAGGCTTTCTTTCTTATTTCTTTATAATTTTTTTTAAAGACTTATATATTTATGCATACAGAACTGGGGTACAAGCCAGAGGTGCAGGGATGGTGAGAGGCTTCACCAGAGACAGAGCGGGGAGCAGAACAGGCAGATCAACGAAGTACACTGCTGAGGGGAGGAGCAGGCGGGTCAGAAGAGGTCTGCTGTGCCATGTGGATCACCTCCGGCCCCGGGAACTGAACTTACATGAAGTAGCTGCAGCCAGCTTGCTGTGCTGTTTCCTAACCCGTTGCACCACCAGGGAGGGCCCTCTTTATTGTTTCTTTAAGGGAGAAAGGGAACCAAGAATCGGAAGTTTGTTCCATGTGAGGACCTGAATTCGTGTGCCCTGCAGAGAGGGCAGCAGGCAAGGGATGTTTCTGGTTAACCACTTCGCCTCCATGGTCTCTCAAACACCAACGCAAGCATCCTTCCCATAGAAGAACTGTGAGAACAAGACATCAGGAACACAGCCTCATTTCATCCAGCAACTAGCTCAGGACAAGGCCCTATGCCTGAGCCATCCGAGAATCGGGGTACCCATGGTCTCCAGCAAGTGCATGCTTAGTGTGTGGTCCCCACCTCAGAGATGACGCGGCTGGCCAGCAGCACCCTGCTCCCCTGTCTCAGGTGGGATTGGAAGGTCAAGGACCACAGAGTGACAGGTCCCATGTTTACTGCTGGAAGGCTGACTCCCCCCTCCCCAGAAACAACCCTCAGCGCTAAGTTAGTGCTTTACAGGTCCTGGAACAGTACTCAGACTCATAGCCTGGTTTCGCCAACTTCTTTCCGAAGATGATGTGGAACCACGAACTTTACGCTGTTTCTCTGAATTTGCGTCCCTCACTCCCGTCTCTGCTGGCTTATTCATTATTCCTCCCTCAGTCCTTACTAGATTTCGTTTACGCAAGAACCAGTTTGGCTTCTACTGTAAGCAACATACTCCACCACAGTCATCCACAGGCCTTTTGTAAGCCACACACTTGCTAGTCTGACACCTGTTTTCTTGTAAATTGCCACCAAGATTCCACCACCCTCTTTGGAGCAAAGCATCTAGGTGTGAATGGGGAGCGGGGTTCAGACAAGACTGAAGGATGCCGGGACTTGAATGACCCTTTTCCACGTGACCAGGAAGAACCTGCGCACTGAGGCTGAAGTGCTGCCCTAACGCAGGAAGCGCATAACTGCAAATACTGTTATCCCCATGGGATGAAATTTATGAATCCAGCCACAGGACAAGCCTGCAGCGCCCTGTGAGCAAGCCTCGGTCAGATGACCACAGAAATCAGAATTGATACGATCGATCGTGCACAGCTGAAGATAAACACCCGCAAGTGAGCGATTTCCAGTTATGCGGGGCTGCTTCCGCCCCAACAGCACCTCACTCGAGCAGACACAGGTGCCTCTAGGTGAAAGAGCAACAGATGTGACCACCGTCCCGGACCCCTGACCACCAACACCGCCAGGTCAGCCTTGAGAGAAGCCCTCTGGGGCTGTTTCGCAGGAAGAAAGCAGATGTGCCAGTGACAGGGGAATGATGGCTTCTACAGGTGAGGTTTTCTTTTCCCAAATGGAAGGAGGGGCCCTGTGCTTAGCCAAGGTCTCCAGAGTGCAGGAGGGAGCACTGCTAACAGAATGACCTCACGCACAACCTTGGACCCCCAAGGGTAGGAAGCAAATTCTGTGCTGTCCAACTCTCAGGGCTCACGAGAGAGGCACGTGCAAGGCCGACATGCTTCACACTAACACGCCTGATGGCGTCGTGTCTGCCGTGGGTGGACGGAGAGCAGCGGCAGTGAAGCCTTCTGACCCCGCGGATGCAGCGGCCAGCCAGAGGCGGGAATGCGGCCACCGGGCTGTGTAATTCAGCAAAGGGCGTGGCACACGGTGGGCCCGCACAGACTATCGCAGAGCCAACGGAAACACCACACTCGCCACATTTTGCAAGGAACTGAGAAAGGGTGCCTGTCGCGGGTGAATCGGCCGTGGCCACGGCGTCCCGCTGGCTGACTGCGACTCCACTGGTCTCTGAACAGAGCCGCCAAATCCTGGTGCTTCTCCGGGCTGGTGAGTCACCAGCTTCCATCACAATAGAAATCTGTCATCCTCCTTGTGCTTGAGCCCCCGACAAAAGCCCTCCGCACACAAGGAAAAAATTAAGAGGAAACAGTCTTCCCGCTCAGGGAATCAGCTCCTTTCGTTTGTCTCCACTTTCTGGAAAGTCTCCACTTTTTCTAGCTTCCCTGTTTCTTCAAGGGGAAAACAAGATCAGCTCCCCGTGCAGTGAAAGTGCAGTGAAAGTCGGAACCAGTAGCTCAGAGTGCCCCAAGGCCCGCCCTGGGACCCCGTTATTCCTGAGGGAAGAGCGTCCTTTTGTTCCTCTTCCCTTCGAGCGGGAGCCCCGGGGGACACTGGCTGTCTGGGGGCTGGGCCATGAGACAGCACCACCCCCCCATCAACCCCCCTCAAAGCCTCGTGCAAGCCAGCAAGCCCCGTGCCGCGTGTCTCCCCGGGACCTCGTGATGTCGGGGAGCGCGGCACGCTGAGCTCCAGCGCCCAGGCCACCCCGAGTCCCGGCGCTGCAGGCAGGCTGAACACCCTGCAGAGAGCCAAAGAGCCAGTGCAGCCCATGGGCTGAGTTTGGCAGCTTTTCTCAATCCACTGTCCACGTGGCCTCCCAAAGGACATTCCTGGCTGCTGCCCTGCTGAGCGTCCCCGGGGCCCACACCCCTCTCCCAGCCCCTGAAGGGCCCCATAACCCCCAGCACTGGCTGTGCCCACCACCGTGCCCGCCCCTGGGGGTGTCCTCCCTACGTTTGGGCCATTCTTCCTGAGTTACGGGCCGTTGCTTCCGCCCGAGCCCCGTTGCGTCTGGCTGCCCCTGCTCCCCCTCAGAGCCCCGGGTCACCTCCTCCAGGGAGGCAGAAGCAGCCCCGCTCCTACAGAGGGGTGGCAGACACTCCTCCGGGCGCCTGCACTGCCGGCTCAGCTCTGGCACTGCTTGACCCTGTCCCTGCCGCGGGCCCGGCCGGGCGGCGGAGGCCGTGGTCTGAGAGTGTGAGCGGGCCCGGCCCAGGGCCCACGCCACTGTCTGCTGGATGCACACACAGTGCAGGGACAGCTGGCCGGTGCCCCGGAGCCGGCCGGCAGGAGCCAGGGCCCGGCGCCAGGGAGAGGCAGCCAGTGTCTCCGTCACAAGGGCACTTGTCTGCGGGGCTGGCAGCGTCGGCAGGGCCGCCCAGCTCCTTCAACAGAACCCGCACAGGGTGAGGCAGGCCCCACCGGGGGTGCTGGACCAGCAGAACAGGTGCCTCTGGGCTCCAGAGTAAAGGGAACACAGACACGCGGAGGACACATGGCGAGGCGGCTGCCCGAGAGGCCCCAGCCTCGAAACGGGACGCACCGCCTCTCCCTCTCATCCTGTTCCAACATTCATGTCCTCCCGGGCAACCTGGAGAGGTTGCCTGCTCATTACAAGAAGAAGGGGGTGTGGATTTTCGGTCAGCAGATTTATTGCTTCCAGATGTCCCAGCTCTGGGGGTTGCTAGAGGACTCTGGAGAGAAGCGGCTGCGGGCCGGTGAGCAGAGCGGCTCGAGAAGCCGAGCCACGGGCAGACGAGGACTCCTGCGGGAGGCGGCTGGGACTTCCGGAGGGGCCTCAGCCGCCGGCTCCTCTCCACCACCAAGGCAAGTGAGGTGCTTGCTGTCAAAGTAAACGGGGCTCCTCGCTTCCTTGCTCCCAATTGTGTGGGTCCCGGGTCCCGTGATGCGCTCCGGTGCCCCCCAAAGCAAGCCCTGCCTGTGGCAACGGCACCGGTGTGTCCTGTCCAGCGTGTCCACACGCTGCTCCCCGAAGCTTCCACGCAGAAGCCCCTTCCCAGAACGGGCAGTCCGGCTGCACCCCAACCCCGGGCCCCGCAGGACAGCGAGCGCCAAGAGCCGGCCGGTCCAGCTCTTGATTTATAGCCACATCTGGGATGTGGAAATACTTTGGGGGTGTAAGTGGGAGGAGGAGGAGGCCGGGAGCATCCCGCTCTGGACTGAAGAGCCGCTGTCCTCTGATAGTTCACTGGCACTACATAATGGACAAGCCTCCAGCCCGAGTGTTTCTGTCAGCAACTCTGAGGCACAAAAGACCGGCAGACTAACCCTCCCTGCAGGTTCATCTCCCCACGACAACACGCCTTCCCCGGGACAAAAGGTTTCCAAACCTGCTGTTGCTCTTAATTCCTCTAAATGCACGCTATGAATCATTCAGCGTGTCGAGTCCTTTTTTCCAGGATTTTCCCGTGTCATTCGCTTGTCTAATGACAAAACAGGCTTAGCCGACTGTGTAAATAATAAATGCAGACAGGTGATAAATACAATACTGGGGTAAAAGGCTTCTAACGCGCTTCCTAACCACAAGCTGACAATGTAAGCAGAGGTCTGCATTCTGTCGTCAAGAATGAGGAAAATACTCTTTACTGAATTTCACTGAAGGAAACTAATTTTAAAATGTGTATTTCTGGGCCCTCCCTGGTGGCGCAGCGGGTTAAGGCACAGCACTAAGAAGCTAAAGCCACTTCAGCATGAGTTCGATTCCTGCCCCGGAGGTGACCCACATGGCCTGGCAGACCTCTCCTGACTCACCTACTGCTCCCGTCAGCAGTATAGTTTGTCAGTCAGCCTGTTCTGCTCCCCACTGTCTCTGGTGAATCCTCTCACTACCCCTGGACCTCTGGCCTGTATCCCAGCTCTGTGTGCATAAATAAATCTTTTTTAAAAAGTGTATTTCTTCATTCAACAGGTATAGGTGTACAATGCACAGGCTTTTTCTTTCTTATTCATGTGCCTCTTGTTTGCTTCTCCTGACCTCACTTTCAAAGTGGGCTGGGTCCTCAAGCTCTGTGAGGCCCACGAGGGCATGTGTTGAGAACCCCACAGGTGGTTATCCTGCCCGTTCCCAAGGCTCCGGGCCTCAGGACGTGTCCTTTCCTGGTAAGCTAGGATGACCGAGGGCCAGTTTCTTGCTCTAAAACTTGTATATGACAATTAACTCCTACAGAAACTGCTGGCCCCTAAGTACGAGAAGAGAATGGCTGTCCGCATGAAAACCAGATGCATGCTTTGGAAAGGCATGTCAAAGGAGTTGCTTAAAGAAAAAGAGAAAGAAAAACTGCTGTCAACAGAGCTCTAACGTCAACCACACCCGATACCTGGGGAGGGTTAAAAAAAATAACCTAGAGTTTTGCACTGAGGCTGCAAAACTACGGAAACCCAAACTGGAAACTGCAGCCAGTGCCTTATGGGCGATGCTTATTCCTGCAAAGACCTTCGCTACTAGAACAGAACTGCTCCAAAACACACACACACTCACTCACACACACTCACTCACACACTCACTCACTCACACTCACTCACATACACTCACACACACAATCACACACACAATCACACACACTCACACACACACTCACATACACAGCACTGTGAAAGATTAGCAAATAAATAACCTAGTTATACATTTTAAGTTAGAACAGGTAAAGCAGGTGGTGCAACGGGTTGGAGCGCAGCACCATGAAGCTCTCTGCGGCCACTGCAGCACGAGTTCAATCCCCGGCCAGGGAGCTGACCCACAGGGCACAGCAGACCTCTCCTGTCTCCCCGCTGCTCCCCTCAGCAGTGGATTTCAATCAACCTGCCTGTCCTGCTCCCCTCTCTGCCTCTTGTGAATTCTCTCACCGCCTCCCCACCTCTGGCCTGCACCCCAGTTCTTATATGCATAAATAAAACAACCCTAAAGAAAAAGAACATGTAAGGCACGTGCTACTGTGTTCGGGACCCAGGTGCTCATCAGGGGAGCAGCCAGGCTCGCAAGCGGCATGTGGAATGCCACGGAGCCTCGGAGAGGCGGTGTGTGTCGGAGGAAGGGTTGCTGACCTGAGAAAGCCTCCCGTGGCTCCGATTCTCTGCAAATACCCAGGGTTTGAATAGACCAGAATTCACAGGCGAAAGCACGTGCCACAGAGGACGCTCGGCGTCCCGCCCAGCTCCCCGTCTTTCAGCACCAGCCTGCACACTCACCCGCCCGAGACGGCCCTGTGCGTGGGGCCCGGCACGTCCTCACCTTCTGGCGCTGCTGGATGTTGGCCACGGTGTCGGGCTGGAAGTCCAGCTTGTCTGTGCGGCATAGCTTCCAGTAGAGGATGACCACGATGACCATCACCACCAGCACCGGGATGACCACGCCAACGATGACCCACAGGTTGCTGCTCTGGGACTCGGGGGACGGCCGCTTCACCCTATCCACAGCTGTGGACAGGAAAAAGGAGCCTGGTCATTCTTCTCCGCTCTCCAGACAGCCCTTCTGAGAGGCGAGTCTGCCTTTGTGAGCGTGAAACCTGCGAAGTCCCCGTCGCTTCAGCTCAAGACAACAGGTGAGGGGCTGAGATCTCCTGGGGGCAGGAGAGGGAGCCCAGCACCTCTCAGAAAGTCACCCCCGGGAGGCACAAAGGACACAAACGATGGGGCCAGGAGAACGGAGCCAATTAGACAGCGAAGCCAGGTGAATTCCACGCAGGAAAGCTCTGCCCGCCCCCACCCCCAATCAGAAACCCTAATAAGCGGTCTGTGAGCACGGCCTTAATCTGCTCTCCTGCATCCCCCAATCCTTCCAACAGCGTTTTTCACGGAAACTGCTTTAGCAAAGGTACGGGGCATTTTTAAGGGATACTGCACACCCCTGACGCCTTCTGAATCTGCAACTCCCCACTTTCCTGCCAAGGCCCCCTCTCAGCCCCAGCTTTGGGGCCTGGGATGATTATGCTTCCATGACGCTGTCCTCCTTCATTTTCTTTACAAGCTTCTTCCCCTAGTCCCACCCCGCATGGCTTCACCCCACACCCACTCACAGGCCTCGCCTCTCCCAAAGCTCTGCTCTTGCCGGTCCTCGGGGCGCTCGGGCCCCAGGTCAGGCTGCAAGCCCCGCCACCCCACAGCCTTGCCCGCCCCGGGGCCTGTGCATCACCACTGCTGCAGCCAACACCGGACCCCCCGACAGTCCCCACTATCCTCCAGCTCATTTCATCACACACGTCCACCACCTTGAACCCCCACACTGCTGGCTCATCCGTCCCTGATGCAGACACGTCTGTCCGGGCTTCAGGGGCCTGAGTGTCAAGGTCTTTTCACATCTTATAATGGCTAACACGTGCTACATACACACATGGAAATGCTTCTCAAAGATGGAACAACAGAGGAGACTCGGGTGCCGGCTTAAGTGGGGGGTCGACTCCAGCAAGCTCTCCGAAGCAAAAGCTCTGTGTGAAGAGCACGATTCCAGAGCAGTCAGGGAGCACTCAACATCGGGTGGCAACAAATTACAGAGGCTGCATGGGGTGTGGAACGAGACCAAGCGCTAAAAATCTGTATTTTTTTTAGCTGGCTAGAGCTCACACTGCATGAGAGCTACCGAGAAGGGTGACAGAGTCAAAGTGGGGGGCTGGACCACACGCCTCGCGGTCCTAACCCAGGAACCCCTGTATGAGGCACAGAGGGTCCACACGGGGTCCGACACTGGGATGCACAGTGCCTGGGATGGTCCTGGTGTTGGACCCCACTTCTTCCTACCCCTAATCCTGAAATCCCAGGACTGTCGCCACTGTGGCATTTACCATAAAACTGAGGAGCGAGAGGCAAAAAGAGACGGTGGGACCGGACTGGAGGGGTGGCCAGACCCTCCCTCCTGCAGTTCATCTTCCTGCAAAAGAGACACACCCAGCTGGAGGGGCACAGCCCTGCGCCCCACACCCACACCCCAGCCCCGTCCCCTCCCCGCCTCCCAAAATGTCGTCAAGGAAGCGCTTTAAGCACACGTGCTTCCACTTTTCCTCACCCTCTGAGAAGGAACACTCACGCAGCCATATCCAAACAAGCCACCCGCGGGCTTTGCTTACGTCTGCCACCTTCGCCCATCCGTGGGGAGGTCGGGGGAAGCATCAGCTCTCACTCTGGTGAGCTTCCAGGGATGTGCAGATTTCCACGCCCAAGGATAATTTCAAAACTGTCATTCTGGTATTCTGCTTGTTTGTCTGTTTTCTCCCCACCACCATCCCTGATACCCCCTCGGGCCCTTTCTCCCTCACCTCCCCATCTGCACTTTAACCTCGGAAACTTCACTTGGTTGATGAATGTCCACTTGTTTATAGTTATTCTGCTACATCAGCTCATCACTGTGATTGCCTGTTTTACCCCTATACGTGAAAAAAGAACCAATATTTGTCTGTATCTTCTTGCCCTGTCATTCCCTTGAACTTCTACCATTTTTCTATAAATGTTGTAAATGCTCGTTCCTGGCAGCTGAGTAGTTGTGTGTGGCACAGACCACATCTTCTTGGTCCGTGGGCCCTTGGGTTGCTTTAGTCTTAGAAACTGCCTTGGTCCCTTCCACGTCCACTCTAAAGCATTTTTCAGTGTCCTCTGATGTGCTCTTCCCAACAGTCGCTTTCCCCTCTACCACTGAAGTTGGCGCCCAGAATCATAAGAGAAAACAGTCTCATTAAAGAAACAGTCTCATTCCTGAAATACACTCTTCTGGGTTTTTCCCTTTTCTTCCCGTTAAATACCCCCAAGTCTGTGGCTTGGAAACGAAGGCACGAAGGGCCCCCACTGCCAGGCCGTCAGGAGCCACATCTTCCAGTAAAAATAAAGAAATATCAAAACACCTCTTTCTAAATTCTGGAGCGGCAGAAGGGTAGGATGGGAGGGATACAGGAATGAGAAGGGTGAGGATCAAGGACGTCTTTGTGTTCAAAGACTCAGAAGGAAGCCAACAAACGCAGAGGGCACCTCCCGGCTTCCTGCGTGACTCACCGTCCCCACAACACTCAAAATAGGACACGTAAGATTCTGGAAGACACACAGAGAAAGCATGTTGTTTTTGCCCAGGACGAAATGTTTCAAAGAAGAAATAGGACAAGAGTGGGGGAGAAATATTAAAGTTCAGCTACCGTCATTTCCTATCACACCAACCATACAAAATGCTAGGTAGCAACCAGCAGCAAAGACTGAACCTACAAGACCCTGGAAACACTTGGCAAATGAATCTTTACCACTGACATGTAAGTGACACTGCATAACAAGGGCTTAAAATGTAATGTTTTCAGTTCTGAGTTCTCTGTCAGACCCAGTACAGCACAGCCCGCCACGTCAGGCCACGTCTCACACACTTACGTTGGGCAACAGCGCCCTGAATGCGGAAACCCAAGATAATGGCTGCTCTCTGGATATCGATCCTGTTAATCAGATCTGAAGACTTGACTGCACTGAGTCTTTCTCCATCTTGATCCTCCACAAAGTAGATAAGCTGCACAGGATTATCATCTCCCTCCAGCCTGGACACATTTACCACCTGAAAGATAACAGAAACCATTAGCATTTAGAAGCTTATGTTTCAAAGCACTCAGTCTTGACTGTGTTCGCCAGGACTCTGTTACTCCAGTTCTCATAAAGAGCTTCACCCACCATTCCAGATTCCAGAATCCCCATGATGCTCTCGATGGACAGGAAGACATAAAAATGCAAGTTCCTCTATGTGAAATAACACCTTCCAGTCTTTTCTAAGACCAACAGGTAAGTAGTATACACAGAACTGAGGACAGCCACAACTGGTCTGTCTAGAGTTGCTACCAACAAGCACCCATATGCTACGGGATTGTACTGTTTCTTCCCACCACCAAATACAGTCTTAGGTACATCCCTGGTGCTCTGAAAGTATTGCTGCTTCTATCTAGGTCATTCTGGAATCTATTAGATTTTTCACCCCATTGTTCAAGGCAGGATTTCTTAACCTGGGCACGACTGTCATTTGGTCCAGATAATTACTTGACGTAGGGGGCTGTCCCAAGGAGCAACCTTGTCCTCTATTGATTAGAGAGGCTAGTGCAACAACCATGCTAGCCTCTAATCACCAGATGTGACACCTAAAAATGTCTCTTAACATTACCAAATGAACCCTGAAGGGAGGGAGGAGGGCAAAATCAGCCCCACTGAGAATCATGACTCCCAGGATAATAAATCTCATAAATTCTTAAATAGCCAGCTCTCGTCAATGGGTAAATCATCCAGAGAATCAACATAGAAACAGCTGATTAGGACAACAGTATAAGTTATATGGACACAACAGATATTTACAAACATTCCACCCAACAGTGGAAAGAATAGTCTTCTCAAGCACACATGAAACATTTTTAGGATAATCCATAAGTTGGACAACAAAAAAAAAGCTGAACAAATTAAATTACATCAAACATTTTTTTTCTTACCACAAAGGTGTGAAACAGAATCAGTAACAGGGAAAAAGCTGGAAAATTCACAAATACATGAAAATTAACACATTGCTGAACAAACAATGAACCAAAGAAGAAATCAAAAAAGAACTTCTTTAATCTTGAAACAAATAAAAATGGTTAAACAACATACCAAAACTTATGGAATGCAGCAAATGCAGTTATAAAGGGAAAGTTTATAGCTATAAATGCATACATCCAAAAAGAAAAAAAGAAATCTCAAATAAGCAACATATCTTTACGCCTAAAAGAAAAAAGATCAAATTAAGCCAAGTCAGCAGAAGGAATGAAATAATAAAAACAATAGCAGAAATAAATTATATAATGAATAGGAAAACAATAGAAGAGATTAACAAAGCTTAAGAGTTGAGTCTTTAAAAAGAAACAAAAATGACAAACTTTTAGCTAGACTAATCAAGATAAAGAGGGAGAACTCAAATAAAAATCATTAGCAATAGAGACATAACAAGAGATATTATAAAAAAGTACCACAGGCAATTATTATGAACAATTATACACCAATAAATTGGAAAACCAAGAAGTGGAAAATTCCTAAAAACATAAAACCTACCAGGAAAGAATCATGAAGTAACAGAAAATTTGAGCAGATCAATAGCAATTGAATCAGTAATTTTAAAACTTCCCAATAAGGAAAGCCCAGGAGCAGATGGTTTCACTGATGAATTCCACCAAACATTTAAAAAATAATTCTCAAAATATTCCCAAAAGTTGAAGAGGGAGAAATACACACCAACTTTTTGTGAGACTAACAATACCTGATACCAAAGCCAGATGTGGAGCAACAGAAAATAAAGCTATATAGGCCAATATCGCTGATGAACATAAATGCAAAATTTCTTAACAAAATACTAGCAAACCAAATTTAACAGCCCATTAAAAGAATCATACACTATGATTCTCAAATGAGAGTCATCTTGGGAATGCATGTGGTTCAACATGTACAAATTTAAAAGTGTGATACATCATAATAAATTAAAGATAAAAATCATACAATCATCTTAATAAATACAGAAAAAGCACATGATCAAATACAACATTTATTCTCAAAAAACTGAGTATGAAATAAACATATCACAATATAATAAAGGCTACATATGATGACCCACATTTACTATTATATTCAATGGTGAAAAGCTGTAAGCTTTTCCACTAGGAGTATGATAAAGACAAGGGTTCTCATTCTTAACTCTTCTATGCAACAGAGTACAAATAAATCCTAGCCAGGGTAATTAGGGAATAAATAAATAGACAGATAAATGGAATCAAAATCAGAAAAAGAAGTTGTCTCCATTTGCAGATGATATGATCTTATACACAGAAAATGCTACTGAAGACTCCACCAAAAAACTACATCAAACTAAAAAGCTTCTGCATAGCAAAAGAAATAACTGACAAAGTTGAAAGAACCTATATAATAGGAGAAAAATGCAAATCATATCTCTAATGAGATAGCTACTATCCAAAAAATAAGAAACTCGTATGATTCAGTGGCAAAAAAATAAGTATATACACAAATGGCCAACAAGTATATGGAAACATGCTAATACCAATAATAATAAGGGAAATGTAAATCAAAACCACAAGAGATATTAAGTAGTAAGTATTGGTGAGAATGTAGAGAAAAGGTAACCCCTGTGCACTGCTGGGGGACTGTAAATTGATGCAGTCACTATGGAAATCAGTATGGAGGGTCCTCAGAGGCTACCATAGGATCCAGTAATCCCAATCTGGGTATAGATGCAGAGGAAAGGATATCATTATCTTGAAGAAACTGCAGCATTACTTATAGCCACCAAAACATGGACCAACCTAGATGTCCATTTGTGCATGAATGGATGAAGAAACTGTCTACATGCACGCATGTGCGTGTGTGAAGAATATTAGTCAGCCATAAAAAAGGAAATCCTGCCATTTGCAACAAAATGGATGAACTCTGAAAGCATTGTACTAAGTGAAATAACCAGAGGGGAAAAGACAAGTAAAATTCACTTATATGTAGAATTTTAAAAAGTCAGACTCATAGAAATTGAGTGTAGACTGACAGCTGCCAGGGTGAAGTAGTAGTAGAAATAGGTAAAATGGGTCAAAGGGAGCAAACTTCCAGTTTTAAATTCTGGGAAATCTAAATTAGTACGTGGTGACTACAGTTAACAATAACACTGTATACTAGGAAAATGCTAAGAGAGTGGATCTTAAAAGTTCCCAGCACACACAACAGAAAGGGAATTGAACTATATGAAAGATTAATTACTATCCTTATTGCAATAATTATCTTACCACATATAAGTAAAATTATTAAATTGTACACTTTACATTTATACAATGCTTTATGTCTCTATGCCTCAGGCAGGCTAGAGAAAAGTCATAAATTCAGTCTGCTGGGTCAGTCAGCACTTTGATTTGTCCCAAAATGTATCACTCTGGTTTTAAAGGTATTCTTTTTATACTAGGACTTCAAAATTTAGTACCCTTGATAGATCACAGTTTTGCATAAACTGTTTTCTATTTTGTTGCTCTGTCTCTTAACAACATATATACAACTTTACTGCCCATTTTGGATCCAGCAAAACGCCTGACTGATGCTCTGGGGAAATGATCGATGACGCAGAACCCTCAATTTTACACGCACATTGTGAATTTTTGGTCTCGGCATTAACTACTGGCAAATGCAGCAGCTACGTTTCCACCACATGGACAGCTGTGTAATACCGCCGTGCATTTGGGACATGACCGCTGGACCTCCTACCTCACTGCAGGAAACTTCTGGCAAACCAACAACTTCATGATTTCACCCTGAACGCCTTCTTCCAGATCGTGCACAAAATCTGTGAACATAGATCCACACTCATCCCTGGAGAATCTGTTCTCTAAACCCCTTCACCTCTGTCCAGCCCTTTGCTTGCAATTCCAGGCCAGACCAGACCACTTCTGTTCCCCAACTACCCACCTCTCCCCCAAATGTGCTAGAGGAATTAGTCTTTGCTCAGCCTTCAAAGTGGACTCTTATCTAAGAGAGTGTGAAAGGAGTTTTAAAAACTTCTTACAGAAGCCATAAACCCAAACTATCTTGTGATCCCCTTCTCAATTAAAGATTCTACACCCTTGTCCAATCTGAAAGAAATCATCACAACACTCTAATAGCCGCATCCCTTCCAGATGACTTCTTACCAGGCTCATACCTGGAGTCCACACCATCCTGGTGTAAAGGATGGAGTCATCATTTTGGGCACCATCTCCAGTTTCATTTTTTAACTTATTTTCTGATTAAAATCACATGCTCACTCTGGAAAGTACATGCTCACTGAAAAAATCCTGAAAAACACATGAACGCCTAAAGCATAAAATGAAAAGTCCTTTGACAGTCAAGCAACCAAAAAAGGAAAACCATCACATACATGTTGGTGTCTTTCCTTCCATTACATTGTCCTGAGTTTTCTAGAACCCTCGGGTGGGTTTCATGCCTGCCTTTGTAGCCTCTCTTCCCTTTGACACTTTCATCACTTGCTGATTCAAAAAAAGAGGACAGCGGCATAATATTCCCGCAGGCAAAGACTCACCAGAACTGATTTACCTAACCATATCCTAATGGCTTATTTCCACATTTTTCCACTTTCACACAGGACATTTCGGCTGCGTGGACGTCTTGCCCACATCTCCGTGTCTGAGAGGCCAGCAGTGGAGAACAGCAGGGCCTGCTTCACAGCCACCGGCTGTGGGTGATGCCCTGGAGTGGCTCTGTCCCATTCCTAACCCCACACTCCTGCCTCAGGGAACTTGCACCCTGCTGCGTGTCTGGGCGAGGGTGGGTGTTCTTGGGCTGCTTTCTGTGCACACATGTCTCAACTCCACCCAGACCTCAAGCTCTATGCAGCCAGGGCTGCTGAACATGGTGAAGGTTTCGGGGATCATTTTCTTCCTGTGTTTTTTTTTTTTTTTTTAAAGATTTATTTATTTGTACATACAGAACTGGGGTACAGGCCAGAGGCTCAGGGGTGGTGAGAGGCTTCACCAGAGACAGAGTGGGGAGCAGAACAGGCAGATCAACGAAGTACACTGCTGAGGGGAGCAGCGGGCGGGCCAGGAGAGGTCTGCCGCCCCATGTGGTCTCCTCCAGGGCAGGCGGGAATCGAACTCATGCGGAAGTGGCTTTAGCTTCTCAGTGCAGTGCTTTAACCCGCTGCGCCACCAGGGAGGGCCTTCTTCCTGTGTTTTAGCTTCATTTAATGTTATTCTCAATTTTCTATTCATTCGTTTTATGTTTCTCTATATTCTACTACACCCGGCAAAGAAACTGCTGTAGAAACCCAACAGCCACCTTTCTTGAGGGAAACACAGCAAAGCTCAGGGGGAAGCCTGGTGGAAGAGCCAGAGGAGGAGGATGCCAGCCTCAGCAAGACTGCCACCTTCTCTGCCCCCAGGGCCAGCTCTGCGCCGTCTTGCTAATGCCACTAAGCCCTCAACTCCCCGCCCCTCAGGCAGGGTTTTGCCCTGGTTTCCTGTCTCCACAATGCAGGGCCTCTAAATATTCATTTTTCCCTAGCTCCACAAGTCAGCAGTTGGTAAAGAAATAACTCTAAAATAACAATTCACCTTGAAATGGAAATACATTACAGCCCCAACTTCCAAGTCTGAGTACGTGTGCTTCAAAACTGGCAATTTTCCATCCAAATGTACCTGCCATTTGTAACCCTGCTACCCGTTTACAAAATGAAGGAAATCTGGGGTAACAAGTCATCGCCCAGGTGGGGAAGGGGAGAGGTGGGGAGGATGAAGTGCTGGAACAGCAGGCAGAAAACCTTCCTCTTTCTGATCCGAAGATGCATGAGCTGATCTCTAGGATACTATCAAGATGCAATCAGCATTCCCTGAAACTGATCATGGGGAACCTCCAGTGAGAAAGGTCGCCCCATGGCAACGGGGAAGCCACTCTCCGCAGGCCGGCCACGGGCCCACTGCTTCAGCGGCCATTCAGTCAGGCCCTGGCCACGTCTGTCTAGACGCCAGGAAACCGAAAGCTGCCACATTCAGGGCGGCTCCCTACTACAGAGTCGGCCGGGGTTGGAAAGTCCTCGCGCGCTGGCGCTCTATGAGGGAAAAGGGCATCTTTCTTAGCTGGTACCCCTTCTCCCCTCCTCGGCACCCCATACCTGCACCACGCTGTTCCCCGCGGCCACGGTTGCCCTGCGCCACATTCGCCTCCGCGTGGACGCCTCGCCGAGCAGCTGCGCGAGCTTGCGCTCCATCTCCGCTTGGAACACTTCGTTCTGGAACTGCTTCTCCACCACACCCAAGAGGACTACGGGGGTCACAGCACGCAGGAGCCAAGACCAGGGGTGGTGGGAGAAGGGGAGGGGGAGGGGAGGAGCGCGGGGTGGGGAGGGCAGCGGAGAGGAGGAAGGATTATTACAATATGTTACATACAGGGTTGTTCTAAAATGCCAACCCCCAGACAGAAGACATTCAAAGGGCGAAACGGATGTAAGGGGAGTCCGGGAAGTGGAGGCTGTGGGTCTCAGGGTCAAGTGCATGCTCCCACTGTCCCACAGACTGCTGCCGGAAGCACCAGCAACTCCCCGCGTGGGGGCCTTGGCCCAACAGTACCTCACACCTGCAAATACTGTGTCTGCCATCATTTCAGAATGTCTAGCAAGAGCTCACAGTCACACCCTATCCAGACTCAAGACTTGGACTCACAAGCTGAGTGGAGAGATGGCGCTGGACCTCAGGGGCCTGCTGTCAGTGGGATTATGTCTTGTCAGCTGGCTGTCCCCAAGGCGGAGGAGGAAGAAGCAGGGCTGGTGCCGGCCCCTCCGAGACGGAACAGGGCAAGTCTCAGGCCCCTGAATATCATCGGCAATGCGGTCACAGCGCAAAGACCGTTTCCTGGGCGCTGTTGGGGAAGTCATGAGCGCCTGCAGGGTGTGGGGTGATGGCCCAGGGCAGCCGGCTTCCTCCCCAAGGCCCTGAGTCGGAGAGCTGTAAATATATCTGACCCCGGCCTGCAGGACTTTAAAGAAAGCTTCTTATTTGCATAGGGAGCAACCTTGTCCGTCCTTATTAAAAGCAAACAAACAAGACCTGAGGGGGAAAAGTGATTCTTGCTTCAAGCCCGTCCCTGTTCTGGGTCAGAACATTGCCAGTGCCTCTTCGGCCCTGTCTCAGACTTGATGCACGAGTTTTAAAGAAAGCCAGGCCTCTTTGTGCCGTAACTCAGTGGGGACACTTGCCCTCAGCCAAAACCGAATCCCGTTCTCATTCATTCTTTGCCAAGAATTTAAAGTACATTCTGTCCTGAATTTAGGACTCAGAAACAGGAAAGGGCGGCATCGTTTGAGCACCCCGCACAGACAGCTCCTCCTCGGGGCTCCCAGAACATTACGTAAGTCAAACATACCTGTCCTTACCCAAGAGGACTTCAGCAACTGAGACAAGTTGAGCTGTGGGTACTGGAAGGCTGGAAACAGAAGCGGGGGAGAAGGAGAAAAATCAGTAAAAAACATGTTTCCAACAGTCAGGACGGTTGGTGTTCTGGGGGGCTGGGCCAGTTTCTGCCTTCTCTTCCCTACATAATTTAGCTCTAGAGAGGGAAGGATGAAGGCCATGTGGGTGTGAAGGCAGGGTGGGCAGTCTCCAGGAGAAAAAGGCGGGGAGCAAGGCTAAGCCCGACAGCCCACGATCTAGGTCAGGCAGGCTTCTTGCCTATGGCTACAAAAGTTCTTACTATTTTCCTACAGGGAGGTTTGTTCTTGAAACTGTTCACAAGTAGAGGGATTTAACTTGCATCCTCTTAGCTGAATGATTCTAGAGAAATCATTAAACAAAAGGTAAAAGGAGGGAGTTAAGTCTCAGGACTATGAAGCTGTCTGCAGCCACTGCAACATGAGTTCAATCCCCAGCCAGGGGGGTGACCCATGTGGCACAGGTCTCCCCTGTCTCGCCTGCTGCTCCCCTCAGCAGATCAGTCTGTTCTGCTCCACACTCTGTCTCTGGTGAACCTTTTCACCCCCTCATCTCCGGCCTATACCCCAGCTCTTGTGTATATAAAATAAATAAATCTTTAAAAAAAAAAAAAGGTAAAAGGAGGAAGCTTTGAAGCTGAGTATTTTAAATACCTCCTTCCTAGTCCCTTATGGTACTTTCTCTATTGTGCTGATTAAAACTTTGCTCTCTTGCACTTTTATTTGTCTGTAAATGTTTTGCTGAATTAATGTATGATAATGGCCTGTTTCGGTACATTGTGGGACACTGTTTCCGAGAACTCACCCAAGAGTTCCCCTTGAAATGCCATTGTTCCAGAACAATGGGTTTCAGGGGCTGTTCCCGGGCCCAGGGCTTCCCGCACTGCACTGCCGGG